CGGGGGAGAAAAATATGTTTTTGATAAAATTTTTTTTTTCCCCTCATCCAGGGGAAAAACCCGGGTCCAAAGAGGGGGCCCAAGAAAAGGGGGGCCCGGTAAATTTTATCCCCCCCCCCCTCCCCCCCCTAAGAAAGGGGAAAACCCCCGGTCCCCCCCCCCTTATGGTCCGTTCCTTGGGGGGAGGGGGGGCCCAAATTGGGGGTTCAAAAACCCCGGGGGTAATTTTAAAATGTTTTGAAGACTTCCCCCTTGGGAAGACAAAGGGAAAAATTTTTTTGGCACCCCTAAAAAAAAAAAAAAAAAAAGGGGGGTCCCCCCCCCCCCCCCCCCCCCCCCCCCCCCCCGTTACCTTTCTCAGAACCTCCAGGGCGGCCTTGTGGTCCGGGCCGTGGCTGGTGTGGTGCGCGAGCACCCTGTCGTAGTCCTCCACGAGGGTAGCGTAGAATAACGCCTCCTCCCCGCGGCCGTGTTTGGACAGGAGGTTCATGGTCGTGGCCGGGTCGAGGGCGGAAGAGTACTCCCGCAGGAAGGACTTGAGCTCCTCGGCCAGGGAGTTCTCCGCCTCTTCCCTCTCTCGTGCTTGAGATAGACAGACGAACGGTAACGACAACGAAGACGACAACATCAACAACATCAACAGCAACAACAACAACAAACAACAACAACAACACCAACAACAACGACGAAGACAACGACACAAGATGTGGGTTTACGTTGTGCTGCGTTTATTCGGTTGGTATTGTTTTTTGAGTCGATGGGCTTCTTCGGTTCGTGTTTTAATCCATCATTTGTTTTGGTTGACGAGAGAGGGGGAGAAATGGCACAGTGACAAACGGGGTAACGGCTATAAACCAACGAAGAGAAGCGGCGGGTCCTCGACGCTGGACTGACCGAAGGACGTTTGCACGGATCAATAAAATGTGCGAACGCACACATCCTGAAGCTGTATTCTCAAATAGTCTAATAGAGCAATCAATCACCGAGACCTGCCGGAACACTGAAGACATCCAACTCTCTGGACCAGATTTCAAGGCGCGAATTACCCCACAACGTATCATCCGCATAATAGACTCTCTTCGTCGTGGAAACAATCGAGCCTCGAAAGTCGTTCGAGCAGGCGAGCTAATATCTCACGCCGTGTCACCTACAGAAACACATCACGCCATTTCTCTGTCACCCCGGTCGCTCACCAGTCCCCGAATCCAGCGGCAGGTAGGTGAAGCCCCTCAGAAAGATCTCGGTCAGCCACGTGCACAGCATGGTCCGCTGCATCTTGTACTCCCCCTGCTTCTGGGACAGGTGCCCGAGTCGCTCGAGGAGGTACGTCTTCAAAGCAGTGGCCTTCCAGCCGTCCTCGCACTCCATGAACTTCAACGCTGTGTTGAAAAAAAAGAAGCAAAGAGACGCGCGACATTACGCCAGCAAAACCCATGCGAATTGTTTCGATCGATGACGAAATCGCGAGACATTTTCGCGGAGACGACGACACAAAAAACACAAAGCCACTCTTCCATATTTAGGACGAAAAGCGGCACACATGACACACGGCACAAATCGGCACAACACACCAAGAAATTGCTTCACAGGATTTTCGGGTCGGCAGAGATAGGGGCCGAGCAGATTGGATGGTGAGGGGGGGGAGGGAGGTTCCGTATCTGCGGCATATGCCTGCTGCTACATGTCTTTATGGCGGAAAATTTGTGTGCCATCCAAGACGGCTGCGGCGGGGGCGGCAGCAGCGGTGTGTAGACGATAGCAGTGACTACCCCCGCCCCCCGTCCAACCACAATGGATTCTAGCCCCCTCCCCCTTAAGATGCCGAACACCCTTAGCGAGATGTAGCGCAACCTCCGTGCGACTCGCCGAATACCTCACACGGCGCTTCGCGCTTGTTGATGTGCTAGCCTGGTCCCGTGAGAACCCGGCGTGCTCCGTCCCGGCTTTGTAGGGATGCGAGACCAATGCCCTAACGACTACGGCATGCACGGCTATCAGTACCCCCCCCCATGACTGAGCTGGGAAAAGTAGGAAGAAAAGTACAGGGAGATATTTGAGGCATGGGATAGCCAGGAGAAGACGTTAGCTGTACTGGGGCAGAGGAAGTGGTTTGAAAAGGCGGTAAATGACATCGGTAGGATAGATAGGCTATTAGGGAACACATTTTTGAACCACCTTCGGCAACGTAGAAAGGAACGATTGACCATCATTGGTGATCGGTCCTGTGGGAACAATGCTCCGTCCTCTCGAGGACGCGTGGTCAATGGTCTAACCGCTAAGGCATGCAAAACATAAGAGTACGCCCCCCCCCCCCCCACCTATCTCCTCGAAGCAGCAGGGCGTCTTGGCGTAGTAGCGCGCCGCGACCGTGTGCTGTCCCCGACGGAAGTACCAACCCGCCTGGACGTAGTGGACCTTCGCGACAGCACGGCAGCATGATGACAAGCACGATAACAAGAATCCCGCAGCATGACACCAAACGCGGCGACGTGAGCGAGAAGGCGCACGGCAGGGTTTGGGTGGGCAGAGAGGGGGGTATGAGTGAGCGTGCGTGATTCGTCTGCGAGATCATCTTGCGTACCGAACAAGCGTGGGAAAAGTCAATTAAAATGGCGACGCATCCAAGTAAACTCACCTGCTACCTCTGTCTGTCTGTCTGTTTGCCTGTCTGTCTACCTCTTTCTGCCTGTCTCTATTTTCTGTTTCTGTCTGTCTGTCTGTCTGTCTGTCTGTCTCCTCTCCCCCCTCCCCCCCCTCTCTCCAATCTGCGGAACCCCTGACCTGCGCCCGTTCTACGGCGTTCTTGCAGTGCTGAGCGGCGTCCTCGAAGTGCGCCTCCTCCCCCGCGACGGCCTTCTCCAGGAAGAGCATCCACACGTCCCGTTCCTCATGCGACACCCGCAACTGCATCGGGAAAACACGAGACACACACGGAAAGTATTGAGTCTTCTCCTTGTGCTAGAAGCAGCACAACTGCAGTCGTCCAATTCCTGCGTCCCCCCCTGTCGGTATAACCCTTGCCCTTTTGATGTAGAAAGTGTTCGTGTTTTGCTATCCCGCTACGATAGCACAGACGTCCTTTCATTGGTCAGCCGGCTACAGTAGCGCGGTCGATGCTACTTATGAAGACACAAAACAAACACAGAACCCTTTTCCCCAAATTAGAAAGTGTTCGCGTTGTAACCCCGCTACAGACTGCCGTCTTACTTTCATTGGTCAGCCGGCTAGCGCGGTCGACGCTAATTTAGGAGGCACACCAGGCACGTACAAAAAGCGTGCGCACATGAGACGCACACGTTTCGTACACGCGACACACCACGTCAGGTGCGGGCGGTACATGTACTCGCAACGGCGTGATTCCATAAAAACAAAAACAAAAACGCAGCTCGCTGCACCTACGTCGATCTACATACTCTCCTCGCCGATGGCACGGCCCAGCCTTTGCCAATACGAGTCAGTACTGCCGAGATTCTTCCCGCTGCTCTGCAATGCCAGCATTCAGCGCCCTCAAAAACTCCGGCCCGACCCCACAGAGCAGACTCAACAAAACAAATACCGACCCCCGTTCTCTTGCTCGCCACCACCACAGCAGTACCTTGAACGGAAGCCTGTCTGTGAAGAGCCACAGCCGATTGGCTACGCCAATGCCAGGGGCCGCTCCCTGCATTGCCCCGCCTCCCGTGTAGGGGTCGGTCAGCAGGGTCAGAACGTGCCCCATGGTAGGGTCATGGGTCTCCAGGCTTTCCTCCTGGGCGTTTTCGACGGAATCGGGGGTTCGGGAACGCAGGGAAAACACAGAGTGCGGGGGGGGGGGTTCAGAGAGAGAGAGAGAGGCCACGCAGAGTGGGCGTTGGGGGGAGGGGGGGACAAGAGAGTGGACGGGGAAGTCGATATTTCGTACCACAAGAGAGGTAATGGAAGGGCCAAGCCAGGTGAAGCAGGGATGGGGCTAGGGAGAGAGACAAGCCCAATGTTGGACATAAGGGGACAGAGGCGAGAAGACAGCGAGAGAGACAGCCACACGACGACCAAAACGGAGCGTGAGCCGGTAGTCGAGAACGACGCCAAACTTAAGCACCAGCGTCGGCACGAGCACCACAACTCCTAAACCTTAACCTGACCAAGGACACCCCTCCAGTACAGCACAAACGGGAAAGGCTACACCTCCCCCCAAAACGAATAACCCGCATGTCGATGCCAAACGTAAACACCAGCGTCCGGAAGAGCGAGACAACCTGACCATTGCCACGACTTTAGAACAACAACAATGGTAGAAATAAGATGGCAAGGCTACACACGCACCAAAAATGATCACCCCGCGCGCGTCGAAAGCTATCTATCTATCTGTCTATCTATATTTGTTTAGTTTCACCTGAACAACAGCACCGTTGAGCCTGCTGACCACCTGCAAGCGGCCGGTGAAAAGCAGCAGGAAGTGGAACTCCGTCATCGCCATCGAGAGCGGGGATGATGACCTCGCAACGGCCCCCCCGCCGCCGCCGCCGCCGCCGCCACCTTCTCCCGCCTCCGCCGCCTCCGGATACGGCACGAGCTGCGCTTCGGAGATGACGTTGCCTGGCGTGGCCTGTCCAACGACAGCAGGACCCCGAAGAAAATGTGGCGGGTTAGGTGGAGGGGAGGTTAACACCAGCACGGAGCAATTAACAAAGCCAGCGCCTGGATGCGAGGGGGAACAAAACACGGTCAAGCACATGCTCTCTCAAAACAGTAGTCCCTCCGTACACAGTACCGAGGCAAAAGAGAAGAACACGTTCGGCCGCCGCGTGAAAAGTGACAGCCTTGGTTGACCCGCAGACGCACTACACGAAACCGTTGTCGATGCCGCCCCGCCGCCCGCCGGCATCACCAAAGCAACAGCGCCCGCCAGGCCTGCCTGCAGCTCAGAAACCTGAATGGCGAGATCCTCACAACATGTACTACTGCTGTGAAAAATTAGTGTATATCGCACACCGCTACCAAACGGCCGCTTGGTAGCTAAGGACCTCGACGGTTCACATTTGTCGAAACACGATAACCTTGAAGAACACAAGCCTGCACCAAACCGCGAACAGTGTACAAATCGTCTCAAACACTCTTTTTCCAAGACGCTTCCAAGTCTCTCTCCACACCCGCCGGGGTGTACCATCCGCGTATCCCCCAACACCCCTCCCTGCCACTCTCACATCGTTCCCCAAGGCAAGGCTCCCATGGTAGATCCCCATCGAGGTCAAGAGCGCGAACGAATGCGGGACCTCCTTATGCCTTCTCACGCCCCCTCGCCCACTCAGGGGCCCCGCCGCCGCCGCCGCCGCCGCCCCGCCGACACCCCCACCCCCGCCGCCATCCTCCTTGTCCAAGCCCTTCTTCGCCCCCCCGGCGGCCCCTAACGATTTGCGGTAGACGTGCAACTCCGTGCTAAGCATGTTTCCCGGTAGCTCTCGGAAGGAATTGGTGCCCGACTCGCGATGCTCCCGAAACATAACCTGGATGCAGAATTAATAGCCCATAGCCGAGGGATAGTCCGCCGTGGAAGGACAAAGTTGTGGGTAATGGATGGGAGGGGGGGGGGTGGGGGGGGGGTGGCAAGGGCAGGGGAAGGGGGGGAATATAAAGGCGTCCCCAGACTCCTTGCTTC